GACTTTTCAAAGCTTAAGAATCCTAACTTCATCTGGCTTCGCTGATAGTCGAAATCCAAAATTTCCATTGTCAAATCTGAAACTTCAATTGCGATCCTTCTCTTCTTCTCAGAATACTCAAACGAAGCTTCCGATCCTCTTCTGAATCGTAACCTCTCCAGAATCCTCTCCTGCTTCTCGACACTCACCTTCCACCAGTGCAAATCGTGCATCGACACCTTCGCGCTAATCCCATCGATCGCTGAGCGACGAATCCTCTCCTGATCGGTGTCCAATTGCTCATACTGTATCGAATTCAGACGGATTTCTGACCTGAGCAATTGATCAGCGATGATCAATTCTAGAATTTGAAAGCTGGTTCGTGTGGCTTGAATCTGTTTGATGTTGGTGGTGACGTAGCGGGATTCGGTACCCGAGGTTACTGTATATTTGAGGGATATCGATCGGATGTCAATGTTCAAGGAGAGAAGCTTCGAGAGAAAAGAGTCTTCTTGGATGGCGACGACGTCTTCTGATGGAGCCTGTGACGTCATCCTCCTACTCAAACAACTCTCCACAACCATCAAAAAGTCATCGTTGAATGCAAAAGAAGGCGTTGAGATTCTCAATGCCACGTTGTCAACATAATCCTTATCAATATCCAATGATAGCTGGAATGGCATGGAGACTTCAGCCAGAAGACTCCTCTCGCTTTTCGAATTCCGTCTGAGCAACTTCCCTTGAATCAGCGAGCACGACGTCTCGAATTGCCACCCCTCACGACTTCTGAATGTCTCCAGAGACAGCTCGTCGATGGTGACGTGGAGAAGACACTCTGGGATAGTGTTCATCACAACGATGTGGACTCTGTTGATCACTAATCCACAGTACTGCGCGAGTCGGGTGAATCGCTGAAGCCAGATTTTCCTAGAAGACGTGCCTGACGTCGTTGATGAGGATGACGTGGATGTGACGTCATTCTTCTCAGCTTCTATCCGCACGTCTTCTAGTACCAGAATCCCGAAGCGTGTCGGGTGGGCGGAGTCTCGTTTCAGTGAGATCACATCGATGTGGATTGAAAGCCAGGCGATTCTGATGGTGACGTCTTCTAGGCGGACGAATCCGACGCCGCCGATTCGAACTTCGCATTTGGTGAAGTAGGAGATGATTCGGGAGAGAATGAAGTCGTTGTATCTGGAACATTCTGGGTTCTCTAAAAGTCTAAAAGTCAATTTTCACATTTTTAGGTCCCACAACGACAGCTACCGTAACCCAAAAAATATTTTATAATAGATTTTTTGGGTTTTAGATCAAATTTTGGATTTTTAGGGCGGCTTTTAAGGCTTCCATTCCGGTCGGTCGAATCGCAGACCGCCGACCTCACCGATTTTCGTGCATTTGCGCGTCGACCTGTTTGCATACGCTGCATTGTATTTTACGACAAACTATACACTAAATGTCTCGTTTGTCGTAAAATACAATGCGGCGTACGCAAACACGGGGACGCGCAAACGCACGAAATCGCCTTTTTCACTTTTAAAAATCGATTTTTTGGGGTATTCTAGGTCATCTTTTGAAACTTAAGGTCCCAAAACGACAACTGCAGTAACCCAAGGTCCATTTTTTTTAAAATTTTTTCATTCAAAATTTCCAAAAATTCTCACTTCCATAAAACCAAAATCAGTGTGACAACCGTAAGATGAAAAATCATTGTCAAAAGGCCGTGTCTAGCTGCATCTGCGGGTCTGAAATTTGGCTGAATTCTCAGTGGGGCGCGATTGCTCGCTGAATAGATTTGAAAAAAAGAAAAAAATAGGTATATTATCCATGGAACGGGTCCAGTTTAAACCGAATTTTCTGAGGAAAAAAAATTAGTTTATTTATTTATTGCAATAAGATAAATTATTTTTTGGTTAGTATTAAGAGGGAAAAAATGTACAAAATGGCACAAGTACAGACAGAAAAAGCCAAAAAATTGGGAAAAATCGAAAATAAAAAACGCGGAATTTCGAACAAAAACTTCAAGATTCAGCCGATTTTTAATGAAAAAAATCAGCGGAAAATATACATTTTAAGGTTAATTCTAGCGTTTTTAAGCCGAAATTCAGCCAAACTTTAATGTAAAAAAACGGCGGCAAAATTAAAATTTGGGTTGAAATTCTTTGATTTTTTTCGATTCTAACGAGATTTCTAAAGGAAAAATTGCACAAATTGGAATGAGAAGTAGAGTAATCCAGAGAAAATGAAACACAGGGGGGGTCGAATAGCCGAGTAAAGAACCCGAAAAAAGTGAAAATACATGCATAAAAAGTGGATGAAAGTGGCTTAGGATGCTTCTGGGAAGATCAAGATAAACGCGACAACGATGCCGAAGCCGAAATAGATGAATAGGGTCTTGAGAATTCGGAATTTTCCATTATGTAGTTCGTGGGGTATCACTTCGAATGTCGTAATGTACAGAAATGTGCCACATGCGATTGCTTGGAGGATGGAGGAGACGATTGCAGCTAGGGATTGCTCTCCGCCACTGATGAATTTCATGATTCCGATGCCGGCGAGACCTCCGATTAGCACTTGAACACTGAAGAGGAATTGGGCGAGAGCGATCCATGGGGTGGTGAGGTTTGCTTGGACCAGGCGAACGCCTAGGCAGAATCCCATGATGCATTTGTGAAGGATTAGGGCACCGAAGATCTGGAAATTTCGTTTTGAAAAGGGACCTTTTTGGGTCATTTTGAGATCATTTTGGACTATTTTAGACCAGTTTAGGACCATTTTTGGACAAATTAGGACCATTTTGGACCATTTTTGGACTTTTCTAGACCTTTTTAGTCTACTTTTCGGTCATTTTTGGACCACTTTGGACCATATTAGACCATTTTTGGATTATTATGGACCATTTTGGCCGATTTTAGTCCACTTTAGGACCATTTTTGACTATTTTTGTGTCATTTTTGGACGATTTTGGGCCATTGTAAACCATTTTTGGACTTTCCTAGCCCTTTTTTGACTATTTTTGGGCCATCTTGCGCCCTTTTTTGAACCTTTTAGACGAAAAAACTCTTCAAAAAGCTCTCAAAAATGAGAAAACTCTGAAAAACTGGTGATTTTGATGGTTTTTTCTTCGATTTTTCGCAAAATTTTGAGACCTTTGCAGGTTTTTCAGCCATTTTCGAAAATTCTTTTTCGATTTTTCCGAATTTTTCGGCTGAAATTTGATGGATTACTGTAGATTACTGTAGTTTTTTTTCTGCTGTTTTTTGTCCGCATTTTGACGTGGTTGTGTTTGCAAAGAAACTACAGTAATCTACAGTAATCTTGAACACCGTTCCATCGAATTTCAGTCGAAAAATTCGGAAAATTTGAAAAAGAATCTTCAAAAATTACGCTAATTTTTTGGAGTTTTGGCGGGAATTCAAATTCGAGAACCGATTTTTCGAAATTTTGCAAATTGTTTAGTTCAAAAAAAGCTCGAAATGATCTGAAAACGGCCTGAAATTGTCCGAAAATGGTCTAAAATCGTCTCAAAATTGAGTTTTTTCGCTTTTTGAAGCGATTTTCAAGGTTTTGCTAATTTTTTTTGAATTTTTTTTTCTGTGAATCTACACAATTTTCTTTATAAAATGAGGCAATTTTCACCTGCAAAAGCTGTGAAGCATCGGAAGTGACCGCCAACGAGAGTCCCTCGAAAAGCGCATGTACCGACAAGGCGAGAACCAACATAGTTACTCCAATACTCGACTGAGCAACGTCCTGCTCTCCAGAATCCACGTCTTCATGTCTCATCTCGTGGTCATGGCTGTGAATATGATAGCCAACTTGTCCGAACACATTCCGCTCTCTGGCAGCTTTCACAATTTGATCAATCGATAGAACCAGTAGAAATCCAACGGCAACAAATGCCAATGGCACTGGGAACTCTGTGGCCACTTTGGTCTTCTCGAAGGATTCTATGGAGTCGGGAAGGAGGTCCAGAAGGCAGGCTCCGAGGAAGACACCTCCGCCGATGCACGAGACGAACGAGAGCAAGTGACTTCGAGCCCATTCGCCTTTTAGAAATGTCGCTATCTGCAATTATGGATAGATTTTTGACCCAAAAACTTGAAATTTTCGACTTAGAAACTTAAAATTCTGACTGGAAAGTTCGAAATTCTAGGAAATACTGTAAGTTGTTGAAAATTTGAAAAAAAAACTCATTTTTGCGATTTACATAAATTTTTAAAAGATTTCGGCTTTAAACATACGCTCTTTAATAGATTTTCGACATATTTTAAGCTCGAAAATCGATACTTTTAGGTTTTTGACACAGAAGAAAAACCCAATTTTCAGAGGAAAATCTCACCATTCCAGCTCCAAATGTGAGCACAAAGAGGATGATGAGCAGCACGGCTCGTAGAGCATCTTTCGGTTCTGCTCCTTCTCCTGAACTCGCTTCCCATACGCTTTTGTCGAATACCCGTTCTGTGAGACGGGACACAATCCGTCCGTACATCTGAAAATGTTTTTTTCCAAAAAAAAAAATGTCTTCGATGCTAAAAAGAAAAAGTAACGAATTTTTGATGGAATAGCAAAAAAACGAAATTTTTTTAATTTCAAAAAATTCGATTTTCTAAAAAAAACCATATTTTCAATCGAAAACCCAGCGAAAATTAACAATTCTAAACTTAAAAACCTCTATTTTTCCATTCGAAACATCGAGAAATGCAGAAAAATCGATTTCAGATCGTTTTTTTTAGAGCAAAACACAGCACAGAAATCAATCATCTTTTCAAAGTGCACCCCCACTTCTCTCGCACCCTCTCACTCTCTCGCGCGTGCAGATAGGGCGCGTTTGCACAACGCTCATTTTTCCGTTTTTTATTTTCGCTTTTTCAAAGATAAAAAGATAAGGGAAAGATACTTTTAAAATAGAAAAAATAAGAAAAAAAATAAGGAAAAAAAAGAAGACAATATTGTACAATCATCATTGCTAATCCTTTCCCTGTTTCGTCATCTGATGACACATACACACAGTGGTCAGAATGTCTCTTTATTAATCGAAAAACACCCGTACAAATCAATAAGAATCGAGTGAATAGGACTCACTATTGAGATTGTTTAATAATAGATTATAAAAATAAACTCCTAGTTTTCTGAATGCTTTCAAAACAGCTCATCGGACTTAAAAAATTCCAAAACCCTTGTTCTGGAAGCAAGATAAATATAATTGAAGACGAGTGGTCATATTTGTGAAGGAAACAATAAAGATATCAGTAACTTATCAGTATTTATTAAATTCAATCGAATTAAATATTCAAGTAGGAAACGGAGAACAATCTTAGGGCAAATACTCATTAGCTTGATGATCTTTTGCTAAATGCTCACTTGCTAAACTCGCTCATTTGATAAAATAGTCTCACTTGCTAAATTTTATTTGCTACATTTTGATCGATTGCTAAAAATGAAAAAGTGAAAATTTTGCTGTTCTTTGGAAATTTCAGCCATTTTTTACTGGTATTCTTTCAGAATGTTCCGGTGCTGAAACGCCTGTTTTCCGGTAAGCTGTTTCAGTCTAAGCCTTCAATTTGAACAAGTCCTCTATTTAGCAAATGATCAAAATCTAGCAAATGAGCATATTTAGCAAGTGAGCATTTGGCAAGAGATCATTATCCTAATGAGCATTTTCCCAATCTTAGTGAACATATCAGGCAACAAAAAACCACAAACAAGAAAAAAGAGAGTTACAGAAAAAGGGTAGATTATAGAAATGTAGGATGCCATACAAACATGAAGAAGACACCATGTTTCACTTTCACAGAGGCTATGTCGAATGCATTTGTACAGTCCCAATGATCGGGCCACAACGGGAAGATATTTGAGAATAGGCATCCAGCTTGCCAATGGTATGTTAAGCTTCTTCCAAATCTGTAACCAAATAATGTTGAATTTTCCAAACGAAAATCACTCACGATTCTTTTAAAGGTGGGGGGGGGGGGAACATGAAAAAAATATTTTTCTCGAAATTCCGTCCAAAGATGCCCCTCGAGGAGTTGAACTTGTGATGGCGATGATTGAGGGTGCGGCGCCGCTACCGACTGAGCCACGCGGGCAAAGAGAAAGCGCACGCCCGATTGCATACATAAAGGCGAGGACGACAGCTGTACGCAGAGTGACATTAAGCGTTGTACACCGTCACGGTAGAATGCATACTCTAGCTACAAAAAAACTACGAAAAATCTCCTGTCCCCCCACCTTTAAGACATATCTAGCTGGTCTCTTCTCCGGATCCCATCTACTGGTCTGAATTCCATCAAGTAATCCTTCTCCATTTTGAAAATCACCACAAACAATCATTGTCTTTAAGTTAGTATTGTCACTGCTCAACCAGTGCTTCAAAAATGCATTAGCACATTTGGAATGTTCCAAAGTTTTGAGTCATCGCTCACAAATCCTCCAATGTCTTGCTTGATCAAAGTAAGACTATTCTGGATGTTAGCCTTTTCTAAAAACTCTTCTGCTATCCTTGCATCCAGATATTCATAGGAACTGTGTAAATACAAATTCTTGATAGTTTGAGACTCATGAAGATCCGAGGAATCACTCAAATGCATTATCATTTCCAAATCAGGAGTCGTCCGGAATAGATCCACACAGTATTTGTGAAGTTCCATCGGCCATTTCTTCATCATATTCTTCTCGAAATACAAAGTGGGAATTCCAGTTTTTGGATCGAGAGAAATACTGAAAAATATTTGAATTATATAATATTATTTAAAAAAGACATTCATACCTGCATTTACATTTTAATTCATTTATTTTGAAAACCAATCCAGATTTCAACTCAATATGGTTTTATTGAAATACAATTCTTCTAGGAACTTGAATTCCTTTAAAGGTGGGGGGACAGGAGATTTTACGGGGGATTTTTGGGGCCAGAGTATGCATTCTACCGTCACGGTGTACAACGCTTAATGTCACTCTGCGTACAGCTGTCGTCCTCGCCTTTATGTATGCAATCGGGCGACCACTTTCTCTTTGCCCGTGTAGCTCAGTCGGTAGCGGCGCCGCACCCTCAATCCTCGTCCCACACGTTCAACTCCTCAAGAGACATATTTAAACAAAATTTCGAGAACATTATTTTTTTCATGTCGAAATCCTTCATTGGATTCAATTCTAAACTGTTGTTTGATAGACTTCTTAACTCGGTTAGAACAAAATGAGAGTAATAGGATTTCATTTGGTTTCATTTCCATGAATACCAAATCTTTCACAAGATACGGTAGTTTCAGAAAATTTACCATTTTTAGGAATTTGGTAGGAAATAGGAAGATGAGAATGAAATGATAAAAGGTAGTCAGAAAGGTATTCCTATTGATTCTCTATTGATTTCGCCTGTGTCTGTTTGAATGGGTACTGTCTCAGTAGAGCGCACTTGTTACACACTCATACCGTATTAATGTGCATGATGGGTTATAATGACGTAGACGTGTTTTAACTTCAATGTTTAACTGCCTACAAAACAAGCTGAAACTTATTGAATATGTCTGAAAATGCTATAGTATACCAATCACAACTAGAGCTTCATGTTTGTAGTTGACAACTTTTTTCGAAAATCAGGTCCTATGCTTCGTGGAAGAGAGAGCACCTAGTAGGCCAGGGCGCGCCAGTGAGAGGTAGCATCCACGTGTCATATCTTCTCAGAACCTAATTTTGGTTAAGGATTGTCAACTACAAAAATAAAGCCCTAGTTGTGTTTAAACTACTCAAAAATTTTTAAAATGAAGCCCATACCTTGTTTAGTATAATAAAATGAAGCCCATACCTTGTTTAGTATAATTTGAAAATCTGAAAGAAATCTGATAAGTTCTAAGCCATTTCTCACACGCTCGATTAGGTCTTACTAGATAGAGCTTTACTTTAAAGGTGGGGGATCATGAAAAAATAATGTTCTCGAAATTCTGTTTAAATATGCCCCTCGAGGAGTTGAACTTGTCGAGGCGAGTATTGAAGGTGCGGCGCCGCTACCGACTGAGCCACGCGGGCGAAACTGGAGCAGGCGCCTGATCGCATACATAAAGGCGAGGACGACCGCTGTACGCAGAGTGGCATTAAGCGTTGTACATCGTGACGGTAGAATGCATACTCTGGCCCCAAAAATCCCCCGTAAAATCTCCTGTCCCCCCACCTTTAAAATAAAACTAACTTAAGTTTTCTGATTGAAGCCCACAATTTACTTGCCCTTCACCTCCATCATGAGATATCAAGAATGTGTCTGTTAATAAAGTATTGATGTATTTATCAGCTGAAAATTGAGGTCATTTGAAAAAAGACTGTCTGCAGATCTATCGCTCAGAATTTCTATTTATTAATCGAAAAAACACCCGTACAAATCAATAAGAATTGATAGAAAAAAGTTTCAAAAATCACAAAAAATAGGGGGTTTCCTGGCTAACAACATTTTTCGAGATCAAAGTATGGAAGGTTGGGAGGTGACACATGGAAAATTTGAAAATCAGAACAATGAAAGTGCGCTCCAATGAGAAAAGTGCGTTTTCATAATCAATTAGCAGGTGTCTGTTGGCTATTGGAGAATCGTTTTCCTCGTCGTGGCAGTGATTTGTTGAATGTGCCATCCGATGGGAATACGGCGTACCCTTTTCGTTCTCGGGGACTGAAAAATTGGGTGTAATTAGACTAGTATAAGTTTTTTAATTGCTTTATTTTGTTCAGAAAACCATGTAGACTTACCTAAAAATGAAGAAAAAATTCGAAAAAAATTCCTTCATTGAGAAAAATCGCAGTCCCTTCGGGAGAAGAAGCGCGCGAGTTCAAATTTTTTTTTGCTTGATTTTCAGTATTTTCATAAAATATTTTTCAAGGTTTTTATCTCGGAAAACCTGAAAAAAACACTGAAAATCAAGAAAAAATTCGAATTCACGCTCTTCTGCTCCAGCGGGGACTAAAAAACTCGTGCTCGTCCCTAATGACTCATAGCGCTTTTCGATGCGCTTTCCTCGAATTTTTTCTTCATTTTTGTGTGAACCTACATAATTTTCAGCACAAAAAAAATCAATAATTTTTTGACCTACCTCCTCCTATCAGTAAAAGCTGTCGGCGCTTTTATTCGGCTTCGAAACGCTGGCTCTGGTGGCTGTTCGACGGATGTTGTGGTGGATGTCATCGTAAGTGGTTGTTTCTTTTTTCGAATTGACGAATTGAGCATAATTGGGACATAGGATGGGCGGTTCAGAGATGGTGGTAGTGGCGGTTTGTTGTTAGAGGACTTTTCGAAAGCTGAAAATCGTTTTGAAGATTTATATGGTTGAATGAATGACCCAATGAAGTTTAACTTTGAGCCAATTTACCTAGATTCCTGTTAAAGATATCAAAAAGTAATCAACTGATAAAATGTTTTTGATATTATGATAAACATTTTGTCAGTTAACCACTTTTTGATATCTCTTACAGGAAGTGAGATACATAGGCTCAAAGGACAGGTGCCCTCCCTTGCGTCTTACCCTTTCTCTCTCCCCGGGAGGTTACGGTAAACGATCTAAAGCACTCAAACTTTGAGTCCATATATCTCGCTTCCTGTAAGATATATCAAAAGGTAGTCAATTGATAAAATGTTTATCATAATATCAGCAACATTTTATCAATTGATCACTTTTTGATATCTTTTACAGGAAATGAGATATATGAGCTCAAAGTTTTGGTGCCTCAGATCGCTTACCGTAATCCCAAAAACTCACACTTAACAATATCGGAAACCTTCGTCGGCGTTTGTATCTCCATTTGCTTCTCTTCCTCTACTCTTTCCTCTTCCTCCCCATCCTCTTCTGAATCCTCTCGTGATTCCCTCCCACTATCCACTGACTTCTGCTCACTACGTGGCGATGATTCTGGAGTCTCCGAGAGATTCTCTTCAGAAGACGTTGTCTGTCGTTTCGGCGCGTCTTCATAATCCACTTCATTCACCACGTCTTCTAGAATAATCGGAAGTGCTGGAATGAATCGCCTCTGACGAATTCGCTCCTTTGCAATGTCCACAACTCGACGAAGATCATACAAGAATTGGATGGCTAGAGCTGATGGATGTGTCATTTGGGCGGGATCAAAATATTCGGAACTAAAAATCAGCCGTTTTCGATTTAAAGAGTGTGATTGAGATTGAAGGATTTCCTGATCATCGATTTCCTCGAATTCTGGCATATGAGGGGGGAGGGTCTGGAAATTGGATGGGTATAAAACTTTGATCTCGTATATCTCGTTTCCTGTAAGAGATATCAAAAAGTGGTCAACTGATAAAATGTGTGTGATATTATGGTAAACAATTTTGTAGTTGACTACTTTTTGATATCTCTTACAAAAAGTAAGATATATGGACTTAAAGTAACCGACCTCCCGAGGAGAGAGAAAGGGTAGAGGGGCAATGGGGCGGGGGGCACCTGTTCTTTCAGTTCAAATATCTCGTTAGCTGAAGAAGATATCAAAAAGCGGTCAACTACAAAATTGTTCATCACAATAGCAACAATATTTTATCAGTTGACTACTTTTTGATATCTCCTACAGGAAGTGAGATATATAGATTCAAAGTAATCGGACCTCCCAAGGGGAGAAAAACAGGCGATGTGTGGAGGGCGTCTGTCTTTTGATCCTATATATCTCATTTTCTGTAAGAGATATCAAAAAGTAATCAACTACAAAATTGTTTATCATAATATCAGTAACATTTTATCAGTTGATTACTTTTTGATATCTTTTACAGGAATCGAGATACATGGGTTCAAAAACTGGCCCCAATTAAGACTCACATGATGTTGATGCTTATACTGTTGAACGAATTGCATTTGAAAATCACTGATTAACTTCCGTTTCTTCATACTCCAACAAACGTTCCAAACGATGAAAGTGATGATAATTACCACGATAATTAGGGCAATTACGACCAGAAAGTAGATGGATTCGACTCGCCACCCAGTCTCTTCCATATCGAACTGTTTGTGGTCGAAGTTAGATGAAGTTCCTGGAAAAAATTCAACGAATTTCGAGTTTTCAAAATTTTCTAACATTTCTAGAACAATTTTTTTCTTTGAAAGTTAAAAAAAAAACTATAATTTTTGCGATTTCGGGTCATTTTTGCTAAAAATTGTCCAGATGGCTCAGTGGGTTCTTGGAAATTCGCCACTACCAATCTGACTACCCAAGTTCGATTCCACCTAGCGTCAGATCTTTTTTTATTTTTGTGCTGAGCAATTCGAAACTATTTTAGACCTCTTAGTGCAAGGTTCGATTTTTCTTGTGGTCTAAAGATTTTTTTTTGCTTTTAAAAACTTTTAGACTGTTGGAGGATGTGTCGAAATACTTAGTAAGTGCATTTAGATTTGACTTGAGCTATTTGAAACTGCGAAAAATGGTTTTGAAAGCCTTGAAAACCCCTAAAAACACTTTAAATCTCAATTTAGCTCGTTTTCCAAAAAGTTGTCCAGATGGCTCAGTGGGAATTTGAGACCAATCTGACGACCAAAGTTCGATTCGACCTAGCGTCAAATCTTTTTTAATTTTGTGATGAGCAATTTGAAACTATTTTTAGACCTCCTAGAAGCTTCTAACTACCAATCTGACATCCACGGGTTCGATATTTCTTGTGGTCCAATTTTTTTTACTTTGCAAAACTGTTTACTATCGGTTTTTTTTGTAATTTTTAAGAAAACTCCTGCTCTTCTGGTTTTGAAACTTTAAAAAACGTTAAAAACCTGAAATTTTGCCGATTTTGAGTCATATTTGCCAAAAATGTCCAAATGGCTCAGTGGGATTTTCAGACCAATCTGAGGACCAAAGTTCGATTCCACCTGGTGTCAAATCTTTTTTATTTCTGTGCAAAGCAATTTGAAACTATTTTTAGACCTCTTAGAAGGTTTTTAGCTACCAATCTGATGTCCACAGGTTCGATATTTCTTGTGGTCCGATTTTTTTTTTGCCTTTTAAGACTTTTGTTATTCTTACCATCCACAGTTTCATTGGAAATTTTAGCACCCATTTGATTTGAAAATCGATTTTCAGCCAAAATAAACAAAAACTAATATGGGACAAAAATTGTCTAGGAAAAAAAACTAGAAATTTCTCTAGAGACTGTATATTTTTTGTTATTGTCTGCTATATTTTTTTTGTGTGCCTAATTGGATATAAGGGACCAAAAATTCATAGTCCCCGATTATTAGAATATTTTCTCTTTCCGTATATGTCTCAATCCGAACACCCATCTCCTTTCAATTTCCAAAAGAAGTGATAAGAGAGAACCCATTTCTCTAGCACTCTCTCATTTTGCTACACTCTCTCCCTCTTCATCTCATTGAACATGTAAATACGTTCATTTCTGTGTCACATTAGAACTTTCACTATCACCTTTTTCTTTTCTCTTCTATTATCAGAGATACAGAGAAGAGAGAGAGAGAGAGAGAGAGAGAGAGAGAGAGAGAGAGAGAAAGAGAGAAAAGAGGAGACAGGGGAAACGAAACCAACCTGAAGAACCCGCAATTCGGAGAGAAATACAAAATGGAGAGTCTGATGACGTGGCAAACGTTCGACAGTCCATTTTTATCATTACTATGGCTCCTGACAAGAATTGAGCATCGAATTCGGTGCCGCCGAACTGCAAAACATGGTTTTTGGAATCGCTTATTACAAAACGAACTGAAACTTTCCCGATTCATCTGAAATTGTCACATTATACTAAACAAACCCGGAGCTTTATTTTTGTAGTTAACAACTTTTTTGTAGAATCAGGTCCTAGGGAGATATGCCACGTGGAAGAGAGCGCTAGGCGAGTGCGCTGCTCGCCTACGCGCCCGCGCCAGTGGGTTGGCGCTTCTATTTGGCATATCTCGGCAGGACCACATTTTGGTAAAAAATTGTCGACTACAGAAATGGAGCTCTGGTTTTGTTTAAACTACTCAAAACATTTTAATAAAATTGAAAAAGGTTGAACTACTTTTGTATGTGTTCAAAATAAAGCTACTGTAAACACTCAAATGGAAGGTCATTTAACTTTAAAATCATATATCTCAGCTTCGGTGAAAGATATCAAGAATATGTAAGTTAATAAAATGTTGCTGATATTATAAGGAACGTTTTGTTAGTTAATCACTTTTTGATATCTCTTGCAGGAGCCGGGATATATAAGCTCAAGTTGGCGGTATTTTTATTGATTGCGTCAGTGGGACTTTCGCTACAAACTTTCCAACCTGACTACCCGGATTCGAATTCCAAGTGTGGAAAATCTTTTTTCAGAGCTTTCAAAAGAGCAAATTTGCATTATTTTTCCCAAAAAGAACTCACATAAACAATAGGTTTCCCACCAGAACTCGTCAACTGAAAAAGTCCTCTTTCCTTGGCGATGGCTCTCCATTTCGTATTCAAATTCTCGTATAAAATCTTCCGAATCGAACAATTCCATTCATCGGCTCCACGAGAAGACGTTCGAATTCCGGCGCTTCTGAAGTCCAAATCCACGTCGGGAAGGATTATGGTATGTGGGCGGAGCTGGACAACTGGAATCGCCGAATTGATCGATTTCCAGCGGATTGTATTCGGGCATTCGTCTGAAAAAGGGACATTTGGACATACAGATTCTCGAAAAACATTTAAAACAAACATTTTGGGCTTTTTTTTGGGTTTCAGTAAGAAATTTTAATATTTAAAAAAATTTGAAAAATTCGAACCACAAGAAATATCGAACCCTGAATTTCAGATTGGTAGCTTAAAACCTTCTAGGAGGCCTAAAAATAGTTGTAAAATACTCAGCATAAAAATAAAAAAGATTTGACGCTAGGTCGAATCGAACTTTGGTCGTCAGAGTGGTCTGAAAATCCCACTGAGCCATTTGTACAACTTTTTGGAAAACGAGCTAAACTTTCATTTAAAATGTATCTAGGGATTTTCAAGGCCTGGAAGACCGTTTTTGCAGTTTCCAATAGCTCAAATAAAATCTAAATGCACTTACTAAGCCTTTCGACACATCCACCAACAGTGCTCACATAAGCGGGTCGGAGCATAGGGCAAATGCATGAGCACTGAAAAAAAGTGTACTTTGTAGTTTGAGCTCATATATCTCAGTTCCTGTGAGAGATACCAAAAAGTGGTCAATTGATAAAATGTTGCTGATATTATGATAAACATTTTATCAGTGGACAAAACTTTGATATCCCTTACAGGAAGTTAGATAAATGGGGGGGGGTGGTACCTCTTTGATACTAAAATTGGCATCCGTGTGATTTTGAACATATGGAATCGCCTGGTGTAGATGCTCACAAGAGGACGGGCAGACCGATGGATTGATAATGTCGCTCTCACCAATTTTCCTGGCTGAAAATCTCAGAACTGTTTTTTTTTGTTTGGAAAAATGTTAATCTACAAAAAGGTCGACATTCCTTTAACAAACAGAAGAAGAAAAAGACCATGTGACCCCCAAAAAAGTTACACATGATCACAAAAAAGGACCTACCGACTGAACTGATCAGCCTATCGAATCGCCTGGGTCCTGGCTCCAAAAACAACGTTTTTGGCTCTTTTTGCTCGATGGGCAGTGTGCCAATGCCACGTGGCAGCAGGAATAGAAGGATTAGAAGAATCATAGTAACATCTTCAAAGGTTCAGAAGAGAGAAATTCAGAAAGAGGGGGAAAGAAGAGGAATGTGATAGAGATAGAGGGCAGTAGTGGTGATAAGGAAATGATAATATCCTAGGAGAGAGAGGAGAGAGAGGGAAAAGAGAAAAAGGGAAATTTTGGAAAAAGAAGAAGAAGAAGAGACAACGCTTCAACGAACAGTGCCGATTCTCCTCTTTTTCTCCTCCTCCTCCAATTTCGAGGTCGTTCATTCTGAAGGAATTGAAGAAAAGGAGAAGAAGACGGTCAAATATCTTCTGATCGAAAAACTTGATAACAAAAGAAAAGAGGAGGCAAATGACACACAGATGTACGAGACATTTAGTATGACCCAGGACATGATGGGCAAAGCATGGACAGGAAATGGGAACCATATCGGTCAGTGGTAAAGAGCCCTTCTAACACAGGTTTGAAATGAGCTCTAACTTTAAGTCTATATATCTCGCTTCCTGAAGAAGATATCAAAAAGTAGTCAACTGTCAAAATGTTTATCATAATATCAGTAAAATTTTATTAGTTGACCACTTTCTAACATCTTCTTCAGGTAGCGAGATATTTGAACTGAAAGAATAGGTACCCCCAGTCCCCTTTGTCTCTCACCACTTTCTTTCTCCTCGGGAGGTTGGTTACTTTAAGTCTATGTATCTCGATCCCTGTAAAAGATATCAAAAAGTGGCCAACTAACAATATGTTTATCATAATATCACCAATATTTTATCAATTGGCACATTTTTGATATCTCTTATAGGAATCGAGATAATTATGCTCAAAGAATAGGGTAGCCTTCTGTCAGAGAATTTATGGTAGCTTTATTTTGAAAACACATACAAAAGTAGTTCAACCTTTTTCAATTGACTTGAAACTTTATGAGTAGCTTAAACAAAACCAGAGCTTCATTTCTGTAGTTGACGATTTTTCACCAAAATTAGGTTCTGAGAAGATATATGCCACGTGGAAGGTGCACCTGCTTTTGGCGCCCCCAGGTATGTCCTCTCCCAAGTGGCATATCTCCCTAGGACCTGATTTTTGAAAAAAAAAAAAAAAAAAAAACGAATCCCAATAGTTTCAAATAGAAAAAAATGTTCTCGAAATTCCGTTTAAATATGCTCCTCGAGAAGTTGAACTTGTCGAGGCGAGTATTGAAGGTGCGGCGCCGTTACAGACTGAGCCACGCGGGTAGGAGCGGGTGCCCGATTGCATACATAAAGGCGAGGACGACAGCTGTACGCAGAGTGACATTAAGCGTTTTACACCGTAACGGTAGAATGCATACCAGAGTTGAGCGGAAATAAAATTTCGCTTCACAGAAGACGGAAGACGGAAATGGAACAACAATTTTTTAACGGAAGACGGAAGACGGAAGACGGAAGACGGAAGACGGAAGATCGAGGAATCGCAATTTTAAAATTTTAATTAGAAAATACTTTAGATTCGAATTTTGGCATCGGTTTTGCAGATAGACGGATCCGCCGTAAGAATTTCGAAAAAGTTGACTCAAAATTCAACAAATCCTATAAAATTCTAGTTTTCCGTTATTCGGGATTTTTCCGGGCTTCACGGAAGACGGAACAAAATTTTTCCGGACGGAAGACGGAAGACGGAAATCCGCTCAACACTGATGCATACCCTAACTCCAAAGAAAACTCCGAAAAATCTCCTGTCCCCCCACCTTTAACGGTTTTTCTATGTCTTTATGAGACATTATGCAGATTAATACGGTATGAGTGTGTAACAAGTGCGCTCTACTGAGACGGCACCCGTTCAAACAGGCACAGGCGAAATCAATAGAGAATCAATAGGAATACCTTTCTGACTACCTTTCCTCATGGTAAATACATGAAATTCTATTAGTGTCATTTTGTTCTAAACGATTTCAGAAATCTATTAAGCAACAGTATAGAATTGAATATAATAAAGGCTTTCGTATCAATTGTGGTAGGAAAAATCACCGTATCTATTATCATTTTCAAGATGAAGTTAAAAATCGACTAGAATTGATAGTAGATCATAAATGGTATGATAAGAAAGTGATCAAATAGAAATACATTGATAATTTGGATTTGCTGAAAAAGTTCAAGTTCTTAAATGGTGTCGCTATCGAGTTGAAATCTGAGTTCGTTTTTGAAATAAATGGATTAAGATGTAGATACAGGTGGGAACATTTTTTGAAAATAGCTTTAAATTTCTTACGTTTTTCAGTATTTCTCTCGATTCAAAAACTGGAATTCCCGTATTTCGAGAAGGATCTGATGAAGAAATGGCCGATGGAACTTCACAAATACTGTGTGGATCTATTCCGAACGACTCCTGATTTGGAAATGATAATGCATTTGAGTGATTCCTCGGATCTTCATGAGTCTCAAACTATCAAGAATTTGTATTTACACAAATCCAGTGAATATCTGGATGCAAGGATAGCAGAAGAGTTTTTAGAAAAGGCTAACATCCAGAATAGTTTTTCTGCAATCAGCCAATATCTTGAAGAGCCAGTGAGCGATGACTCAAAACTTTGGAATATTCAAAATTTATGCATTTATGACTATAACTGGGTTTTTGCACGACAATTAACTCGATTCACAGGAAAAAATGCGTATCTTGTTACGAGAGATCGCAACGATATAGCACAACATTTGAATGCATTTTTGAAGCACTGGTTGAACAGTGACAATACTAACTTAG